AACATTTTACTAGTTAACCACTTTTTGATACCTTTCAAAAGAAGTGAGATATATAGGCTCAAAGTGGACGATCCGGGTGTCGTTCTATTAGAGGTTTTACGGTAATAGGTTTTCGCAAGATCAAAAAGAATCTAGTTTCGTTAGGAGGTTAGAGTAAAATTTTGCGTTATAAAAAGCCATTAGGCCGAGGCTATGGGAAATTGAGAAAATTAAATTAATTGGATCGAAAAATATAACATTTTTCAATTTTCCACAGGTGTCTGATTGTTTTCGAGAATCCTCTGTGAGGTAATCTGAGTTTTTAGCATTTCTTGGAAACTTACTACTGAACGAATTCGAATTTATTTTGATTTTGTTAGTTTCTAAAAATTCCAGGGATCTGGACTTCAGAATCTAAGATCCTAGTACACTCGCTTCTCTGCGTCTCCTCGCTCCTCTCGTAGTCACGGAAAACCGCCACCGCGCTGTCTTATTGAGATTATCCTAAATTCTCTAAATTCTCCATTCTCGGGATCTAAAATTCTTTGGATCCTCGATTCTATAAATCCTAGGTCATCTGGATCCTAGTTCCTATGGATCCTAGATCTTATGGATCCTAGATCCTATGAATCCTAGCTTCTCAGCGAATCTCGCGCTATCTTAAAAAGCTTAAATCTCAAACTTTATTTGCAAAAGTCTGAGAACTGAAGGCGTGAGATACTGAAACTGGCCAGTAATCTTTGAAACATTTTTTTTTTCCACTCGGCACTTTCTAAAAAATTCCAAAGATCCGAAACTATGAACCTGTTCGTTTTCTGACTTTCTTTTCTCCCATTCATCTGAAAACTCCACTTGTCTGGAATCCTGGTGTCGAATTCCATTTTCCCTATTTTTCAATATTTTCCCCTCGGTGCCACTTCCTCGTTTTCTCTAGCTTGGAGCAGGTGATTTTTGGATTTTCAGCTACTCGTATCAGCTCCACAAAAATTAATTTTCGACATTATTATTTTTGTTTCACCCTCCCATTACAAAAAAAATTAATTTGTTCAGATTCGAGAACAAACTGGCGTCACAGGACAAATCCGTGCTCAATCAGACGTTCACTTTGGACACCAACAAAGAAGAACGCTGTCGTGAATTTTGTATCGAAGGTTGGTGGAACTTCAGATGACGTCGTATAACGTCTTCAGATCTAGAGAAATTGAAAGGCGGCGTTTTTTTTCAGATGCTATAAATGGATTTCTACCAAGGGCAAGAAGCAGTGGACCGAGGACGAGTAGTATGAAGAATAAGCACGATGAGAATGTTAGGAGGTGAGCTATTTATATGCGATTGAATGGCCTAGAAATTTCCTAGGCCATGTAAGATGCTAGACATGGTAGAATAACATTTAAAATTCTCACAATTGAACGTTCTGATAGGTAGCCCATCTCATACTTGCACTTTAATCTCAATTGTCTCGCTTCCTGTAAGAGATATCAAAAATTTGTCAACTGATAAAACATGGGTGATATTATGATAAAAAATTTAATAGTTGACAGCTTTTTGTTATCTTTTATAGAAATTGAGATAATTGAGCTTAAAGTTTAGAAGCATCTACGGTAAATTGGTTGTTTCCCTGAGCCCATTTTTGAAACATCAACTTCTTCGCAACCTGAAAAACTCTGATTCCTGAAAATCTGAAAATCCAGAAAAATTAAATTAAAACTATTTTCGAATGTCACACCTCCTACACACGAACTTGCACCTGCTGCTCCCCAGATTTCTGCCTGTTTTTGTAAAAAAAAATTGTGACGTGGAATTTTTAAGATCAGCTGGAATTTCAGAACTTTTAGTCACATTGACTACAAGGGGATTTTCCTCTGAAAAGCTACCTCACCTTTGTTTTCAAACTTTCCACAAAAAATTCGAATGTCAGAAACATTTCTCTAACTTCTCTCAATCTCTCTTCACCCTTCATTATCAGTGATATTTATCACCAACCCCATCATTTGGAGCTCTTGAAGCTCCGCCCCCTTTTTTCTCACCCGTCCGACACTCACATCATTCGACACTTTTATATTTTGACACCAGACGTTGTGTCTGACTCAAAGTCATCCTTATTTAATCAGCTAATTATCGAGATGAATTCCACTGGGTCCAAGAGTCATCCAAGATTGTGAGTTGGCCTAAAAAAGTGGGGCGGGGTGTGTAGGATTTTGAGGTAATTGGAGAGTGAAAAGAGAGAGAGAGGCAGGTGCATTCGTGCGAAGGAGCTCTTTTTCTTCGCTCTCTCTCTGAGAAAACTTAGAAAACTTCATTTTTCTGACTTCTTCTGAATTCTGAACTATGCTAGAAATTCAAGAAAACAAAATTAAGAAGTCGTCAAGTGGTAGTCATTTAGTCCTCCCATCCCTTCCTGATAGAGCAACAAGTCCATTACCACTTAGCAGGTACTTTATAGGCCATCCTATACCCAAATTACATTAATTTACCCTTTCTTTCTTCCAGAGTCCGCTCCGAGACCGCATCTCTCTTCTCCTCAACCTGTAAACTTCCCCAGCTAGACGGATCCATCGCCAGTGAAAAGAAGACGTGCACCATCCGCCCGTGGAGTCGTACCCAGGATGAGCTTCGCAAATTCAAGGAGACCTTGAAATCCACTACCGTCACCTCAACCACCGCTTCTTCAAACTAACGCCTTCTTCTTCTTCTTCTTCTTATCTCTATATGTTTACGTGTGTCTCCCCCTAAATATTTCCGAACCATCCACATTTAAAACCACCACCCATGATATTTGTTTCCCCATGAATGACAATAAACAGTGATTTTTCATGGATTCTGAATGCCAAACTTGATTTTTGAGAGTGAGAGAAAAGCTGGGAAGGAACTTAAAGGACAGTTTTAATAAGGACAAAAATAGGAAAAAAACAGAAAAGCACCAGCGAGAGAGTGGGAGATAATGAGATACTCGAGAGAAGCAAAAATATCAGCAATTTAATAAAGTACAGAATTTCGTTGACTAGAATGGACTTCGGTTGTCAGAACAGTCTTCTTTGGTGGAGCACCAAACACGGCTTCCCTGGAAAAAGTGATGATTGATAGGTGGCCTAGAATCCGGCTCCGAGTCACTTTGAAACCGATCGTTTCGAAACTGCGTGCACTTCGAAACCAGCTATTTCAAAACCAGTCGTTTCGAAACCGCAACAATTCGAACCCGGAAGTGTCGCGGTTTCGAACTGACTGGTTTCGAAATGATTGGTTTCGAAGTGACACGGAGCCTAGAATCCGATAGGGACAAAGTTAGGCCACTCTCTTACCTGACAAACACACTCGGTACAGTACTCATTGGGAGGAATCCATTTCGCTCCCTCTGGTCTCCATAGTCCATTCTGATTGCATCCGTGAAGTCTGGAACCGCGGTGACGGCTGGAAATTTTGAACTTGTCGCTCTGATTGAGACAAATGCCAATTGAGTATAAAATTTTCAGTAGAATGAGTCAGCTTTCAATAATACTGGTTTTTGGCAAATTGTAATGGAGACCAGACAAGGAAGTGGTCAGAAGTTCTAAAATATTCGGACTTTTCGGATTTTCTATCACTTAACTCCCTTATTTTTAGAAGTCTCTGGGATCCTATGACGTCCAAAAATTTTTTCTCACCTGGCATGCTAAATTGAGTTAGCTTATAGTTTACGGGCGGTCGGGGAACCTAACAAGATATACTAATTCTTGTTGTTATTTATGCCAAAAAGAGTCTGGTATTCTTGTCTGTCCAGTTTTCTATTTATCCAGATGTCCTCTGACACCATCGTCACTTTGTTTTTCTTGAAATTTTCAACCCCATCATTTTCAAAATTTTCAGAAATACCACATCACTCTTTTTTCTCGAAAACACCAAATTACAAGAATCACCTTCTCAAAATTCTATCCAACATCGTCGGACAAACATCATCGCAACATTTGCTCCACGCCTTCAGATCCATCATCTCTGTATCCTCACATCTCCCATAGTTCTCCTTCTCTTTGCCAGGGTACATGAACACGTCCTTCTGAAAAGTTCACATCGGCTCTAAAACTTTTTATCAGGATCCAAAAGTCACCTGAATTCTGTCAATCTCGTCTCCATTATCACACAAAAGCCTTGCCAATGTGACCTTTTTGATTTCCTTCATTTGTTCTGGTGTGAAAACTCCATCCTTCTCGTACCTAAAATTCCAGATTTTCTAATAAAAAGTTCATTTGACATCTACCAGAATCTATCTCCATCTCTCATCTTCCTGAACTGCTCTCCAATGATGCATGCAAAAGTCGGTCCGAACAATCCATTCTCCAACTTCTCCTCAACAATTCCTCCGACCCATAAGTCGATGTTCTCTGAAGTTGTCACTTTTTAAAAAGTGTAAAATATTTTTCCTACGCGCTCAGTATAGAAAATGCTAGCATCAGTCGTTTCGTCAGCCGAAAGATGGTTAAACCTTCATCGCGCACGCAAGCGTCGTCCCTGTGTGTTTCGGCGGGCGATTATAAGAGGGAGGGCAGGGAAGCAGCCGACACTTTCCGGGTTCCGCCGCCCGCTATGTTTTGTGTGTGCGTTAGCCCCGCCCACTTTTTTCAATAGAGAAGAAAGAGATAGAAAAGAAGTCAGAAAACCGGCAGAAATTTGGTTTTTGGCTATCTTTTCGACAAAAAAATAATTTCAGATTCTCACAGTATCCCAGAACCTACGTGGCACTCCATACAATCCTCGAAGCTTCTGAATAATCATATCATCTTTGATGTATCCCTTCATATCCTCCCATCTCGCCGGAACCGGAAGGTTGCAGAATTGTCGATATTCAGTGTAGCTGAAAAGTTGAAAAACATCATCCTTTTCAAAAATTCAATTTCCTGTCTAAACCTGGGCAATCCGTGATCCCTCGATCTTTGAATATTCATAACAGCCAAGTCCAGAGAGACCTGAAAAAACGGAAATGGGTTCCGGTCATAAAAATTTCTATCAAACCTCATGACCCTTCATGAACAATTTCTCGATCAACTCCATATTCAAAAGTTGTGTGGGCATCGGATGTTTCAGTGGACTCGCGAATAATCCACGAAGAAGGGGATCGATTCCTCCTTCAGTCAAAACTAGTTCAGGTGTGAAGAAGGCTTTGTGAAGGGCAATATGTCCTTGTTTGATGGACATGAAATCATTTCCAAGACGAAACAGAGTTGGGTTGATGATTGTGTGACCGAATCTGAGGAGTCAAGGTTTAATAGCGTGAATTAGAATCTGGAGGATTTTGATGAGCTACATGGTTGCTCAAAATTACCGGGGCCGATGAAAACGGGGTATATCTTTAGTCATAAGTGACTTGGAAGAACGTAAATTGGTAGAAATATAATTTTAAGATTAATTCAAGGCTACTGAAACTTTCAAAGCAATTCCTCAAGTCTAAGTATTGTTATGATTGTCCGAAGATGAGCGGTGTATTGTTTCTTATGATATTCATGAGATGAAGCTACTTTGACAAGCGATAACTCAGCTCAAAATTGATCAAATAAATTGAAACTAGGCCAGCCTACTGATGAATCATAAAACTTTTTGTACTTCAAACCTGAGCCCAGTACGATCCTTTACTCAAATGTTATTCTAGTACAAACTTATGTTCGAGTAATTATGCGCCACCCTGTATTTGCTCAAATAGAAGTCTAATCAGCCACCAACTTTGAACCCATATATCTCGGTTCTTGTAAAAGATACCAAAATGTAATCAACTGATAAAATATTTTCGATATTATGATAAACATTTTGTCAGTTGGCTACTTTTTGATATCATTCACAGAAACCTAGATATATGAGCTTAAAGTTGGCAGTATCGAAAATCATACATTCAAAAACGACTTACCGGAAAGCAGCCGTTGCGAATGCATTAGTCACAGATGAATCAATTGCCGGGTCGTATCCCTGGTACTTTCCAACAAACTTGTCCATTTGTTCCTGAAACAGAATGTCGAATTTTCTTATTGTTCCATATAAACCGTAAAACCTGTAATAGAAGAGCCAAATGACTTTCAACTTTGAGCCCATATATCTCGGTTTCTGTTAAAGATATCAAAAAGTGATCAACTGATAAAATGTTAGTCATAATATCACCAACATTTTATTAGTTGACTACTTTTTAAACTTTGACAGGAGCAAAGATAAGCTGGCTCAAAGTTAAAAGTATATAATAAAACTCTACCTGTCCTCCGAACACCACTGGCAACCAATGCTTAAATGTAATATGCTGCATCATAGCTCCAATAATCTTCCTTGTCTCATGATATATCACTTCTCCATCCCAGTTCCCATTCATCTTTTTCAACTTCTTTGCAATCCGATTATGCTCTCTAACAAAAATCGTGTGAGTTGCCGCCAAAGCGAGTTGCTCATTCGCTCTTAAATCGCCAGCCAAGAAGCATCGAATCGGGTTCTCCTCACTGAAATTCCGGCGGCAATCCATATTAGAATCCTTCTCAAATGGCAAATATTCCTTTCCAGCTGCAGATGTGATGTCGTATCTGAGCTGACCATTGTTGTTGTAGGTGTCACGAAGCTCCTGAGCTTGAACTTCATTGCTACCGTAGACATTGGAAGCATCAAGGAAGGAGGTGAGCTGAAATAATAATTTCTCGAGGGTGTTAGCATTTTTAGTCTTACCGCATTCATCTGTTCTCTATAAGTGACTCTATTGAACACAAGGGAAGTTTCGCCAGATCCACAGACAGCTGCACTTCTTTCGAACTCGATGCATGGGTACTTGGCACTTTCACTAATGACTCTTGGGTCACTAGGAGACAATGGGATATTGAAGCAAGGATCCAGGTTATCACAAGTTCGGTTACAAAACGCCCCTGTCGCATAACTGTGTCTCGAAAGTGCGGTTACTGTATGTGTCAGGTCATGATCTACGAATTGTCCCCATTGCATGACCATCGAAGACAACTTCCGATGGGGAGTGATCGTCTCCGTGGCTACCAATTGTCTAGAAACTTCCCGAACGTTCGGCATTGGATATCCATTGTAGAGTTTTCCCTTCTCCCAGCCAACTGGAGTATTGAATCCATTCTCGTACACTGGCTTCAGAAGACGTCGGAGGGGCATTAGGGACACTCCATTCATTGGTTTGTTCTTGTTGTTACACTGTCCATCGAACGATCTATACTTGTTGTGAAAGCAGGTATCAGTGCATGGATTCTTGAATTGACCGGTATGACATCCACTGAGTCCCATCAAAGCTTGAACGTGGGTCACATGGAGTACAGATTCATAGGAAACATTGTTAGGATGAAGCTCGTCTACATTCAGAATCAATCCCTTTTCCACATGCTCTCGCACCAAGCGAACTGATTCTTCATAGATTTCTCTAGCCTTGGACAACTCTACAGCCTGTTTTGGAGTGGAGAATCTGAATAGTCTCTTCAAGTCATTCGTATTTGTGATCTTATCCTGGTTCAGCTGTTTTCTAGTCTTCTCCACTGCACTCTCCACGTTCTGTCTTGCCTTCTGAGCGATCGCTCGGAGTAGTTCTTCATCAATTTGAGGGGTAGATGACTTCCGAGTCTCTCCTCCAATTACAGTAAGTTTAGCATCGGCACTCATTGCTCCAACCGGGTTACCAGCCATGCAAGAATAGTATCCTTCGTCTTTCTTCTCAATGTTTGAGATTNGAAGTTCAGTACCATCATCAGAGACCATGAATCTTCCCTTAATATGTCCGATCGTACTTCCATCAAATGACCAAGTATAGTCAGGCGTTGGATTTCCCTTCGCCTTGCAAACAAACACAACTTCTCCTCCAATATTCTGGCTAACCGATTGTGGTCCCTCGTAGATATTCGGTGGAATACTACTAATCAAATCCAACGAGAAAGTATGGCTAACTTTTCCAAGACTATTCACAGCTTCACATGTGTATCTTCCAGAATCTTCCTCCAAGAATGGATAGATCCTAAGCACATTGTTGGAGAGTCCAAGTTGCTTCTTTCTAGAAGACGCGAATCTGACACCATTATGGTACCAGGTAATACTTGGTTTTGGAGTTCCCATAACTTCACAATTCACTTTGACCTCGGATCCTTCTCTATACGAGTTGTCTCTAGGTTTATAGGTAAACTGAGGTGCTCCATTGGAATGGTGACTCTGGCGGAGGCGTCTGGAAAGAAAGAAATTTGGGGAATACGGTAGCTAGAATACTCACCTATGATGCGGAACATGCTCGTAATCGTAAGTACATGTCATCTGGTTAACATTTGTCTTCCGTGGTACAGTAATCACTGAATCGTGGATTTCATACCCATCCAAAGAGGAAGAGTCTACCTCGGCGTTCCTGAAAAAACTCCTTACAAAATTAAATTTGAGCCTATATCCCTCACTCGTATAGCCAAACCACTGGTCTACTGCTGCTTGCATTCTTGGTACAAACCAGTTTGAATTCATCTCCAGTCCATGATTCTTCCTCTGGTTTTGCACATTTTAGAAGTGATTCTTCTACCTGAAGAATCGAAATTTTTAAAATTTAAATCACTTTATTCATTACCTCATCTATTGCCTGATGACGTAATTCAACGGGATTTGTACAATACGCTTTCCTCTCCCATTCCACTTTCCGCAACAAGGCCTTGACTTTTGTTACCCTGTAAAAAAGAGAAATGCGCGCATTTTGTGGTGGCAATCTTCACTGGTGTCTCCCGTCCGCCTCATTGGCTCAGTGGCAGAGCGTCTGTCTAGTAAACAGAAGGTCGCTGGTTCGATTCCAGCATGAGGCACCGAACTTTTTTCTTTTTTTTTAATTATTACCTGCAATCACAATTCCATGGATTGGCATGAAGATGGGCGTGAGTGAGGGATGGAAGGTTCTCGAACAGTTTAGTGCGCAAAGATTGGATTCTGTTGTGCGATAGATCAATTTGCACTAGTTCCGGGAAGTATTGGAGCAGCTGCAATGAGGTACACAAATTTCGAAAAATGATTTACAACACCCACCGCTCGTCAATGAATTGAATGTGATTCCGTTTCAAATTCAACGAGGCCAACGGACGGGACTCAGAGGCAAGTGGTGGGATGTAGACGAGTAGGTTGTGAGACAACGACAAACGTTTGAGCTCTGGGAGATGGTCAAGGATGTTCTACAAAAAATTGGTTATTGGAAGTTTCTAGAATTCGAAAACAAACCTCTTCCACAACTTTGATTTTGTTATGAGTGAGAACTAGGGATTCCAGCAGTGGGAACCCTTCGAGATCCGACTTTATGAGCGTGTGGATTCGATTGTTCCGGAGAACAAGACTTCGGACATTTGAGGAGATTCCTTTTGGAATTCGGGTCAATCCTAAAATCAATAAATACAAATAAATTTTCAAAAAATCTACAGTAATCGCGAATCTAAACCTCACCCGCATTACTGCAATCCACAGTGAATCCTTTCTTATCACATGTGCATTTTGCAGGGCACCCATCTTCCGAACCTAGTACCCACGGGACAAGTAGAAGCAAGTACAGTAGTAAGTTCATTGCCTGAAAGAATGAAACCACAAGAATTTTGTTTGAAGGAAACGAAACAATGATGTATAGAGTGTATGGAGAAGGTCATTTAACCCAGCTGGTCATATATCTTAACTGGCGGTGGTTTTTGGAAAAAGTGAAAGAAGAAGAATGAAGAACTTTCGAACCGAAACGGACTGCTCATTCGTCATTTCGTATATAATCCATCTGGAGTGGGAGACACAGAGAGAGTGGAATAATTGATGGCGACGGCATTGAAGTGCTCAATTCGAAGACGTCGAACCGAGACCAGTGATAAATGAAAAGGGAAAAGACGAAAAGAGATTGGAAGACAAGATTACATTGTCGAGAAAACGGATAACGAGGCATGGAATGGGATGGAGGGAACGGAGAACAAATGGATTTAATTCCTCCTTCATTTGATTTGTTACTGGCATGATAGGACTAATAGGTTTAGGAAAATATTTTTGGTCTAATTTCGAATTTTCAAGTAGCATGGGTACTGTAGTTTTTGAGGAACCAAGCAAACCCTCTAATGGTGTGCTGGATCTTTCAAATTTGAGCTTATATAACTCAATTCTTGTGAAAGATATCAAAAAGCTGTCAAGGGATAAATTGTTCATCATAAAATCAATAATATTTTATCAGTTGACAAAATTCGATATCTTTAACAGGAATCGAGATATATGGGCTTGAAGTTGGCGATTTCGCTGTAATAGAAGTTAATAGAAGCCCTTTCAAACCATGAACTTTGAGCTCAATTATCTCAGTTCGCGTAAAAGATATCAAAACAAGTTCAATTTTTAAAATATTGGTGATATAATGATGAACATTTTATCAGTTGACAAATTTTTGATATCTTTGACATGAACCAAGATAATTGAGCTCAAAGTTGACGGTTTGAGTAGGCGTTACGGGAAATACGGTATCCATGTAATAAGATTTCCTTCCGAAATGGTTTTTAATTAAATGAATGAATTCCAAAAAAAAAAACTAATACAAGACATCGGACTTTCTCGAGAGAATTGATATCGGCAGAAAACAGAAAAACAAAAAATTTTTGGAAAGCGAAATGAGGAAGTATTGTTTCGAAAGAATCGGGACTTGGAAATTCCGAAATTCAGAGTTTCAGGTTTTCAGAATTTCAGAATCTCAGAACTACATAATCTCAAAACCTCAAAATCTCAGAATCTCAGAATCTCAGAATCTCAGAATCTCAGAATCTCAGAATCTCAGAATCTCAGAATCTCAGAATCTCAGAATCTCAAAATTTCGGAATCTGGGAATATTGGAATCTCAGAATCTCAGAATCTCAGAATCTCAGAATCTCAGAATTTCAGAATCTCAAAATTTCGGAATCTGGGAAAATCGGAATCTCAGAATCTCGGAATCTCAGAGTCTCAGAATCTCAGAATCTCAGAATCTCAGAATCTCAGAATCTCAGAATTTCAGAATCTCAAAATTTCGGAATCTGGGAATATCGGAATCTCAGAATCTCGGAATCTCAGAGTCTCAGAATCTCAGAATCTCAGAATCTCAGAATCTCAGAATCTCAAAATTTCGGAATCTGGGAATATTGGAATCTCAGAATCTCAGAATCTCAGAATCTCAGAATCTCAGAATCTCAGAATCTCAGAATCTCAGAATCTCAGAATCTCAGAATCTCAGAATCTCAGAATCTCAAAATTTCGGAATCTGGGAATATTGGAATCTCAGAATCTCAGAATCTCAGAATCTCAGAATCTCAGAATTTCAGAATCTCAAAATTTCGGAATCTGGGAATATCGGAATCTCAGAATCTCGGAATCTCAGAGTCTCAGAATCTCAGAATCTCAGAATCTCAGAATCTCAGAATCTCAGAATCTCAAAATTTCGGAATCTGGGAATATTGGAATCTCAGAATCTCAGAATCTCAGAATCTCAGAATCTCAGAATCTCAGAATTTCAGAATCTCAAAATTTCGGAATCTGGGAATATCGGAATCTCAGAATCTCAGAATCTCAGAATCTCAGAATCTCAGAATCTCAGAATCTTAGAATCTCAGAATCTCAGAATCTCAGAACTTCAGAATCTCAGAACTTCAGAATCTCAGAATCTTAGAATCTCAGAATTTCGGAGTTTAAAAATTTAAAAATTTCAAATTACTAACTTTTGGGAAAAAAACAAAAAAAGTTAAAAATATATTGGAATCTCAGAATCTCAGAATCTCAGAATCTCAGAATCTCAGAATCTTAGAATCTCAGAATCTCAGAATCTCAGAACTTCAGAATCTCAGAATCTCAGAATCTCAGAACTTCAGAATCTCAGAATCTTAGAATCTCAGAATCTCAGAATCTCAAAATTTCGGAATCTGGGAATATTGGAATCTCAAAATCTCAGAATCTCAGAATTTCAGAATCTCAAAATTTCGGAATCTGGGAATATCGGAATCTCAGAATCTCAGAATCTCAGAATCTCAGAATCTCAGAATCTCAGAATCTCAAAATCTCAGAATCTCAGAATCTCAGAATCTCAAAATCTCAGAATCTCAGAATCTCAAAATCTCAGAATCTCAAAATCTCAGAATCTCAGAATCTCAGAATCTCAAAATTTCGGAATCTGGGAATATTGGAAAAAAAAAATTTAAAAATTTCAAATTACTAACTTTTGGGAAAAAAACAAAAAAAGTTAAAAATATATTGGAATCTCAGAATCTCAGAATCTCAGAATCTCAGAATCTCAGAATCTCAGAATCTCAGAGTCTTAGAATCAAATTTCGGAATCTGGGAATATCGGAATCTCAGAATCTCAGAATCTCAGAATCTCAGAATCTCAGAATCTCAGAACTTCAGAATCTCAGAATCTTAGAATCTCAGAATCTTAGAATCTCAGAATCTCAGAATCTCAAAATTTCGGAATCTGGGAATATTGGAAAAAAAAAATTTAAAAATTTCAAATTACTAACTTTTGGGAAAAAAACAAAAAAAGTTAAAAATATATTGGAATCTCAGAATCTCAGAATCTCAGAATCTCAGAATCTCAGAATCTTAGAATCTCAGAATCTCAGAATCTCAGAATCTCAGAATCTCAGAATCTCAGAATCTCAGAATTTCAGAATCTCAAAATTTCGGAATCTGGGAATATCGGAATCTCAGAATCTCAGAATCTCAGAATCTCAGAATCTCAGAATCTCAGAATCTCAGAATCTCAGAATCTCAGAATCTTAGAATCTCAGAATCTCAGAATCTCAGAACTTCAGAATCTCAGAATCTTAGAATCTCAGAATTTCGGAGTTTAAAAATTTAAAAATTTCAAATTACTAACTTTTGGGAAAAAAACAAAAAAAGTTAAAAATATATTGGAATCTCAGAATCTCAGAATCTCAGAATCTCAGAATCTCAGAATCTTAGAATCTCAGAATCTCAGAATCTCAGAACTTCAGAATCTCAGAATCTCAGAATCTCAGAATCTCAGAATCTCAGAATCTCAGAACTTCAGAATCTCAGAATCTTAGAATCTCAGAATCTCAGAATCTCAAAATTTCGGAATCTGGGAATATTGGAATCTCAAAATCTAGAATCTCAGAATTTCAGAATCTCAAAATTTCGGAATCTGGGAATATCGGAATCTCAGAATCTCAGAATCTCAGAATCTCAGAATCTCAGAATCTCAGAATCTCAGAATCTCAAAATCTCAGAATCTCAGAATCTCAGAATCTCAAAATCTCAGAATCTCAGAATCTCAAAATCTCAGAATCTCAAAATCTCAGAATCTCAGAATCTCAGAATCTCAGAATCTCAGAATCTCAGAATCTCAGAATCTCAGAATCTCAGAATCTCAGAATCTCAAAATCTCAGAATCTCAGAATCTCAGAATCTCAGAATCTTAGAATCTCAGAATTTCGGAGTTTAAAAATTTAAAAATTTCAAATTACTAACTTTTGGGAAAAAAAAACAAAAAAAGTTAAAAACTTTCAATGAGCAATTATTAGTTCCAATCAAGCTAATCAAGCTCAATGTAAGTATTGCTCATCATAATTCAGCCAATATGAAGATTTCAAGTAAATAACATTTCTTCAAACCAGATCGACTCACACTGTCAAGTTTGAGCCCAATTATCTCGGCTCCTATGCAATTTATCAAACTGATAAAATGTTTACGATATTATAATAAACATTTTATCAGTTGACAACTTTTTCATACTTTAGACAGGAACTGAGATAAATTAGCTCAAAGTTAAAAGTTAGGAGCTCTTCTTTTACGGTGATTCCAGAAATCCAAGATTTTCGAAAAAAAAATTAGGAATTTAGCAAAGTTTTCTGATGTCATAAACAACTAACCCTTCTTCTTTTTCTTCTTATTTTCTTGCCCATAAAAAGTTCAAGTGACAACAGTTTGATAAGAAAAGAAGAGGTAAAGAAGGGGAACGTCGTATTCCTAGAATTTCAGAATCTGGAAAAGGAAAAAAAGCACTAAAATAGAAATGACACAGAATCTATATATGTATAAAAAGGAAACAGAAGCCCTCCGAAAAACAGAAGGGGTCCTTCTTCTTCTTCGAGACCTTCTCGGGGAACACGACGATGAAATGTTGTCTGACGTCTCTCTTCTTTCTTTGTTCAACATCTTCTTCTTCTTCTTCATCAACGTCTTCTTCTTCTACTTGCTATCAATAATTGAAACAAAAAAAAAGTTGGAGGA